ATGAGAGACTAATGTTCTTCCTTGTAACAATAGAGGTTTACAGTGATCTATAAGGAACAGGGAAAATAGTAATGCCTGCTTCCCTTAGTGGTGAGATTTACATACATACAGACATCGATATGCAAAATGAGTGTGGAGATATGACACTCAATCGGCTTAGGGTCTTTTCACGTCGTGTTATAAAGGCGAGGTCACGGTGATTCGCTGACCTTTGTGAATGAAGACAGGTTCGGGATGGACGGTAGTTAATTATCGCTGGTCTTAGTTATCTGTCATCTTTACAGCCATCGTGGGGACAGAAAAAAGTATATAGATCGACAGATTAGAAGTGGCAGATTAGAAAGGAAATAATGCATAGAAGTGAATGGATAGATAGGTAGCCTAATTAAATGGCCAGGTGTAAAGGTAAAGACAAAATTACTCAACAATCTCCCCCCCTCTCTCTATATATATATATATATATCTATATCTATCTTTCTTTCTTCCCCCCCCCCCCCCTCTCTCTCTCTCTCTCTCTCTCCTCTCTCTCTCTCTCTCTCTCTCTCTCTCTCTCTCTCTCTCTCTCTCTCTCTCTCTCTCTCTGTCTTCCTCTCTTCCTCTCTTCCTTTTTTTTCTCGCTCACTCTCTCTTTCTCTTTTTATCTCTCCCAACGCAGACACACATTACTATAAGCAGTGCATAATATATTTCTCGTTAAGACAAAATTACGCCCAAACCCACACAGCTTGAACTCGGGCCCCATCAGCTGCTGCGGGCCGTCTCGAATCCAGCGTGACTAACATGTGTAATGTAACATTCACTCACATTCAGTGGAGGAAGAGGTGGTTTTGCTCTCAGTCACTTTCACTGTCTGAGTCAGCAAGTGGAGTCTTAAGTGCCGTTGGCGTTACAGTAGGCTCTTACCTGCCTCCAGGGGGTTCAGTGCTCCCCCTCCCTCCCTCCCCCTGCTCTTCCTGCTGCTACTCCTCCCCCCTTCTCCTCTTTTTCTTCCTCCTCCTTCTTCTCTTCCTCCTCCTTCTTCTTCTCTTCCTCCTCCACCTTCTTCTTCTCTTCCTCCTCCTACTTCTTCTTCTTCTCTTCCTCCTCCACCTTCTTCTTCTTCTCTTCCTCCTCCACCTTCTTCTTCTTCTCTTCCTCCTCCACCTTCTTCTTCTTCTCTTCCTCCTCCACCTTCTTCTTCTTCTCTTCCTCCTCCTCCTTCTTCTTCTCTTCCTCCTCCTTCTTCTTCTCTTCCTCCTCCACCTTCTTCTTCTTCTCTTCCTCCTCCTTCTTCTTCTCTTCCTCCTCCTCCTCCTTCTTCTTCTCTTCCTCCTCCTTCTTCTTCTTCTCTTCCTCCTCCACCTTCTTCTTCTTCTCTTCCTCCTCCTCCTTCTTCTTCTCTTCCTCCTCCTCCTTCTTCTTCTCTTCCTCCTCCTCCTCCTTCTTCTTCTCTTCCTCCTCCTCCTCCTTCTTCTTCTCTTCCTCCTCCTCCTCCTCCTTCTTCTCTTCCTCCTCCTCCTCCTTCTTCTCTTCCTCCTCCTCCTCCTTCTTCTTCTCTTCCTCCTCCTCCTCCTTCTTCTTCTCTTCCTCCTCCTCCTTCTTCTTCTCTTCCTCCTCCTCCTCCTTCTTCTCTTCCTCCTCCTTCTTCTTCTTCTCTTCCTCCTCCTCCTTCTTCTCTTCCTCCTCCTCCTCCTTCTTCTCTTCCTCCTCCCCCCCTCTATGAGAATGCCAGCTGGTGATTGCGGTTTGTTTACGTTCTCTCTCGTATAGTTGCCGAGTAAGTATTTTTCCCATTCAGAATTATGACGGTTGCCTCGCGTTGGTCTTGTTGCTAAGGCGGCGTCTCCTCTGTTCTGTTGAGTTGTCGCATCGGTTGTCTGTTTGGTTGAGATCGGTCTCTGGGTCTGTTTGTTCTTCTTTCGTTCCTCTCTCTCTCTCTCTCTCTCTCTCTCTCTCTCTCTCTCTCTCTCTCTCTCTCTCTCTCTCCTCTCTCTCTCTCTCCCTCTCTCCCTCCCTCCCTCTTCTTCTCCTTCCCTTTTTCTCTTTCCATTTTCCTTCACCTCTTCCTCGCCTTCTTCCCTCTTTCTCTTGCCCTTCCTCGTCCTTTCTCACAATCTCTCTTGTTATGCTAATGATTTATCGATTTCCAACTAGAATAACGGATTTCCTAAAGCTTTCTTTTATTAGCAATATAATATTTCCAACGAAGAATAAAAAAAAAGTCCTCATTGGTGTTGCTAATGACCAGTGACCACAAATTCCTTCACAATAGACGTCGCGGGGAAGGGAAGGAGGGGGATGGGAGGGGGTAGTGTACACCATTGGCTTTCATTCGACACTGTTTGCTTTCTTGACTCGATTACGCCAGAGGTCGCTCGTGATTAGGCAAGGGGAAAGTAGCGGGCGGTTGTTCGGTCGAATAGAGAAACGTGGAAGAGGAAGAAAGTGTGTGTGTGTGTGTGTGTGTGTGTGTGTGTGTGTGTGTGTGTGTGTGTGTGTTATGCAACCCACGAATGTTCTTCAGCTTTGGAGAAGATGTTCTTGCTCGTTGGGAATGTTCGATTTTCCAAACCGCATGACTTCGTGGGTGGTTATTAGTCAAAACAAGTAAAGGTGCTAGACATCAAAGCCTATAGAACACTTTGGTGAATTATTGTGACGAAAGCGTAAAAAATAGTTAACGATTAGGATAAGGGGACAGAAGAAGGGGACGAAGAAGAAAAGGAAAAGGGAAGGGGCAAAAGAAGCGAAAGAAGAGGAAAGGGGAAGAAGAAAAGACCATGCAAAATTTCTTGAGGTGAGGGCTGAGGTGCACGGTAGTCGTCGTCCCTTTTAAATTGAGCTGGACGAGATAGATCCAATGGAGATGTGTGTGTCTGTGTCTCATATGTTGATAAACCTATGTTTTATATGTGAAAGGTGAGCCTGCATAAGGACTTATCAAGATTGGGGTGAGGATAACCTACGTTGCCTCATCCTTTTGAGATGTAAGCTTTTGTCTCAATAAACTTGTCAATTAAAAAATAATTAGTCCCAGTCTCCTCAGCTCTCCCCCCTCCCCCTCCTCACGGCAACAAGGAGCAAGGGTTTGGGGGAGATGACTTCGTGGAGATGACTTCGTGGAGATGACTTCGTGGAGATGACTTCGTGGAGATGACGTCGTTGGGAGGACTTCGTGGAGATGTGGCGTGGGTCTTGGATCTGGTGTGTGATTTTGTTTTTGTTTATTGGCTGGATAATGGATATAGGATTCACTTTCTCCGTGTTCGATGACCTTTGGGTGGGTGATGCTGGTATTAGGCCTACTTTGTCTTCCTAGTAATTGGTGTAGGCCTGTTAGATGTGTAGTTCTGTTGTTACTAGGTAACTACTTAAGGATTGTCATTGCAGCAACTGCATTTTTTTCTTGCCGTCTATAATCGTTTATTTATTTTTTCCCCTCATTTTTTTCTTTCTTTCTTTCGTCTCCTCTCTCTTCTCTCTCTCTCCTCCTCTCCTCTCTCTCTCTCTCTCCTCCTCTCTCTCTTCTCTCTCTCTCTCTCTCTCTCTCTCTCCCTCTCTCCTTCCCCTTTCTTTTCCCTCCTTTCCATTTCCCTTTCTCTCAGCCAATACTGTCCTCATATAGCTCGAGTAATGAAAAAAAAATGAAATGATAAAAAAATAAGGTAATGAAAACAATAAAAGTAAGAAATGACAAAAGCAATTAAAAACAATAAAATAATCATAAAAATGATAAAAAAGATAATAAAGATAATTCAAAATAATAAAAAAGAAGGTAATCCTGTGACTTCCTAGTTACGTAACGCGTGAGTCTCTTCCTAGGAAAATTCTCAGCGCTTCTTCTAACACGTCTAAGATTTCTTTTATTTTAAATCCATTCTTTTTTAATTGCAATTGATTTAAGCAAGTTAAAAATCACACATCGACTATTTTATCTTCGTTCGGATATACGTTTTCTTTTCCGTAAAAGGACTGGTAAGCATACATATTTATTTATGTTTTATTTTGGATAACTTGGATACATAGAATTTGACGTCACCAACTTTCGCTTCCCTTGTGACGTCATAGGGCTTGTCAGGGAGAGAGATCGGCGAGACACGGCATCTCCGACGTGCGAGTGGGCGTGCGAATGGGCGTGCGGGCGGGCGGGTGGGCGTGGGTTGCGTCATTCGGAAAGACGGTCGGCGCGGGAAAGTGTTGGGGGGGGTAGGGTGGGGGGGAGGCGTGACTTATTAGCTTCTGTTCGGTTGGATGTGTGACACGGTTGTTTTGCTGTTGTTGTCGATAATATTAGTAGTTGATGTCTCTATCATTATGATTAATGATTAATGATTAGTTTATATCATTATTGTCATCATCAGTTAGTTAATTTCCTCCTCATCACCATCATCATCACCATTACATCACCAATTATTTCTTAATACCATCGTCAGCAGTATCGTTATTTATGTTACGATCATTCACACTGATTTTTTTCCCAATTATTCTGCTTGTTGAACTTTTGCGGATAAACAGATGTATTTCAGCATTCCGTTGACGCGATGTGATAATTTTGCATGTCATTCGTTTTAAAGTCTAAAATTGCACATTCCTTCACACTGGTATTGCTCGCTGTTGCTTCAGGAAAATATTGGATATGTGACAGTATTACACGCATGGTGTAAGCGCAGACTGTGTTTGCGAGGTACTGAAAAATCTTTCCATGATTTAAAGATGTAGATATAACGTCATACTCTCTCTCTCTTCTCTTCTCTTCTCTTCTCTTCTCTTCTCTCTCTCTCTCTCTCTCTCTCTCTCTCTCTCTCTCTCTCCTTCCTTTCCTCCCTCTCCCTGCTCCCTCCTCTCCCTCCCCTTCCCTCCCTCCCTCTCTCTCTCTCTCTCATTATTATTATTTCACACTTCCTCCTGTAAACAGCATATAGTGGTTCGGGGAAAATGATAATAGAGGAAATGCCAGTCAAGTATTACGAAGTTGCAAAACTCTGCCGGTCGATTGGCTTACCTCCTCGGATGATTAGCCAAGTGTGGGTAATTAGCTAAACCTTATGGCTTTCTCTCCTCTTAACATGTCTTCGGATTTTTGGATTTCCTCGTCATATATTAGATCTTTTGGTAGATGTTTCTAAAGTTCGGTGGTTAATGTATATATTCTTGTTTGTACAAAGCGTTCGAACTTGGGCTGTGTCTTTTGCTTCGGTAAATCGACGAGGCAGCCAGGGATATGCTTCGGTATTTCTGAATTCCAGAGCGCAAATTTGTGTAAGGTGGATTCGTATGAACGCGAAAGACCTTGAGTTGTTGGTACGGAGAGAAAGTTACGTGATGAATACGAAATTATCGCGATTTATCCTACTCCCCAACTCTCGTGGTTAACGAAGGGAGTCCGAAACGCTTGTGCCATCTGGCTTCGTCATTATTTGTATTTACCCATTTTACTTTCTTTTTATCTTTTTAGTTTTTGCTTCTAAGATATGGAGTTTAGTTCGTGTACTTATTTAGAGTGAGCTACGTCATTAGAATCATATGTCCATTTTTACTTGAAGTCTTTTACCTGCGGCGGTGAACGGATTTACACTTTAAAATTACGCGCGCTCTGACCAGCTGATTCGGAGCGGAAAAAAAGGACGGGAATATTTCGCAATCCTGGAGACTGTTTTCGCGAGAAATACATTTTCTTTTGGAGAGGCTGGTCATCGACTTTTCAGCAGAATCAGAGTGACTTTGCTCTTATACTGAATGACTGAGATCAGTAAGGCACGCTAGCTGGGTGCCATACATTACTGTCAGACTACCGAAGATCCATTATTAATATTTTCTTGATATACCTCTGCTCAAAAAAAGAAAAGAAAAATCTAATGAAAATCTTACTCGCACAAACCTTCTGAATTCTTACAGAGTATGAAATCAAGAAATTCTTTAACTTAACACAGTCATGCGTTAAGCCTACATTCTCAGAGTGTGTATGATGATGCAACTCGGTGATGACGTCATAGTGTTGTTTAGCTGTCTGTCGTCCAGGTGTGCACTCTGGAACTAAGTCAACAGTTTCACTTTCCGTTAAGATTCCACGTGGCGGATTCGGTCTTTGGGTGCTAAGTCTTGTTATATTTGTTGAGGTTAAATGATTTCGGTGGTATATTTGAAGCCATTTTGGGTACGAGAGATAGAGGGAAAAAGTAAGGGTAAGGGAGAGGCAAATGGAGAGAGAGAGGGTGAGGGTAAGGGAGAAGCAAAAGGATTGAGGAAGAGAGAGAGAAAGAAAAAGAGGGATAGGGAATCGGAGGGGGAGGGAGGGAGAGGGAGAGTGAGAGGGGGGAGGAGGTAGGGAGAGGGAGGGAAGGAGGGAGATACAGAGAGAGAGAACGATAGAGTAAAGAAGAATGAGAGAGAGAGAGAGAGAAAGAAGGAAAACAAAAACAATAGACAAACGATTTCCGCCATGAAAGGATTTTTTAAGAATTCCAACTTCTGTTACTTTCAAAAACTCGAGAAAGGATTAATCATCAGTGGTAAAGGAAAACACATTCTTCCGAAGAACTTAGCTGCGATTTCTCTCGGGGTTAAAACATACACCGGAAATTACCATTGTCTTCCAGGAAATGTGGGCACGTGACGTAATCTCTGACTCCAGGATGCAATACCGGATCCTTCAATAAGTTTACGATGACCCGTGACGCTTTCCTATTCACGTCTGTTCCCTGTGCTACCGATTCCGGAGAGCTGCAGCGTGAACCTTATTTTAAAATAATTCTTGAATCAAAACTTGAATAGGTTTGGAAGGAAGCAATACATTTCGGTTCGTTATGACTCCGGTATTATTTTTGCTCTGATGGGTAACAGATGGCGCTCATGCGAGAAGGGTGTGATTCATGCTGGTCACTTGAACGTTGCTTCAGAAGCACCGGTCACGATTGATCTGTGTGCGTTGCCACAGAATATAGGTATTACGAAAGGAGAATGGGAGAGGGAAAGGGAGAGAAGGAGAGAAGGAGAGAAGGAGACACACACACAACAAACATACGACTAGAAAGAGAGAGATAAAGAGAGAGAGAGAGAGAGAGTGAGAGAAAGAGAGAGAGTGAGAGAAAGAGAAAGAGAAAGAGAGAGAGTGAGAGAAAGAGAAAGAGAGAGAGAGTGAGAGAAAGAGAAAGAGAGAGAGAGAAAGAAAGATAGAAGAGAGAGAGAGAGAGAGAGAGAGAGAGAGAGAGAGAGAGAGAGAGAGAGAGAGAGAGAGAGAGAGAGAGAGAGAGAGAGAGAGAGAGAAAATGAGAAATAAAACAAAAAAATAAGAGATGAAAAAAGAATAAGTGTAGAATGACTGATAAGAAGAGAATACCAAAAAGGCGAAAGGAGGAGAGAAGAGAAAGTAGATAATGATTCAAGAAAAGAGAGAAATAGGAAGCAGTAGGACACGATGCGACAAAAGCGAAGATGACAAAAGAGGAAAACGAACACCAAGGGGAACCAGGAAGAGAAGGGAAGAGACAAGAAGAGGAAGAAGCAAGATGGCGTTTTCCTCCAGTGAAGACAGACAGCGTCCAAAAGAGTGAGAGTGAGTAAGATCGAAAATGCATGGGACGTGTCATGCGCCTGAACGGTCATGAGCTGATTCGTCACCCCCGCGCGAAGCAAATCCCTCATGACGGAAGCACAGAGACCCCCGCGTGTGAGGCTGAGGCCCAGGGTAGGGGATCGCCCCCGCCTTGGATCCCAGCCCTCGGCTCAGCGGATTTTGCGGGGTCTTTTCTCCTTTCCCCTTTCGTTTTCCTTCTCTTCTTTATCTCCTCTTCCTGTCAACTTATCCTAATCGTTAACCCAGTTTTACCCTTTTACTCTTTTCTTCTTCATCCTCTTCTTCCGTCCACTTATTTTATTCGTTAACATGTTTTTACCCTTTTCACTACAATACTTTAATAGTGCTATATGACCTTTGGTGTCTCGCTCATTTATTCGGTTTGACCATTAACCGTTAACAACCGGGGTTCTTAACCGTGGGGTCCATGGACGGCTTTGAGGGGTCCGTGAAGATTAGTTTAAAATTAACATTACTTTTTTAATAAAAAGGAATGTGTGTTTTGACGATTTACTTTTAAAGTTTGATAATACTTTGTGTATCTCGTATATATGAGACAATCAAATTTCAATAAATGAAGTTGCATATAGCCTACACATCACATGCAAAGTTGTGTTTATGTGAATGTTTCTTGGGAAGGGGGGGGAAGTCCATAGCTTTCATCAGATTCTTAAAGGTGTCCATGGCACTAAAGAGTTTAAGAACCACTGCTCAAAAGGTTTCACTAATTTCGCCAAATTAAGTTATTTGCAAAGGAGTATACAGTCTATCCAATCACAGGACACGAATGCAAATTATTCAGGGTTATTTGCGAAAGGGTGTATCCAGTCTCTGCCATACAGGGCGTGAATGCGTGTGTAAAGTGTATTGTCTGGCGTGTGTCGACGGAGCGCAAGTGGAGTGTAAAATGCAAAACGACCGAGTGGGTTTCGTCCGACGATTTGGAACTTACTGGTCATCGGTGGTAGTAGTTTGAACATGTATATGTGTGTTTATAGGAAGAGGAGGATGAGAATTGAAAAAAAAAGTGAGAGAAGGAGGGAGAGGGAGAGAGGGAGGGAGGGAGAGAGAGAGGGAGGGAGAGAGGGAGGGAGGGAGAGAGGGAGGGAGAGAGGGAGGGAGGAGAGAGGGAGGGAGAGAGAGGGAGAGAGAGAGAGAGAGGAGAGAGAGAGAGAGAGGGAGAGAGGGAGAGGGAGAGAGGGAGAAGGAGAGGGGGGAGGGGAGGGAGGAGAGATAGAGATAAAGAAAAGGAGAACGAGAATTACAGAAAGGAATGGTTAGAGAAAAGGCGTATATTTTAAACGCATTTTCAAAAACAGAATAGATACGTTTGTCCCAGAAAAGGCAATGAAAAGGCAGCACGAAGGGAGAAAGGAAGAAAGCTGAAACGAAAAAAAGACGAAGAAAGGGAAAAAAAAGAAAAAGAAAAACAATCCGCAGTTAGACATGCAAAGAGAAATACAGAATGAACGAGAATAAGAGAAATTAAGGGAAGATCGCGCAGTTAAAATCCGTAGGCTTTGTTTGACTCTCCTCCAATAAGGTCACAGCACCTCAGGTTGCCAAGACTGCAGCGGCTGTCAGGCTTTCACCGCAAATGTCCAGCATCTTTGCGCAAACAGTATTTTTCTCCGGCGTTAGAGACAATTTTTAGAAAGGCAAGGCGCACCACTTTCATTTTTTTCAGGTGACTACACTACGCTCGTTTTCTAAATCATGATTGTTGAATGAGCAAGTGCATTGAGAAAGTGGTGGTCGGAAGTGCATTTTTTTTCTCTTCTCGATTTCAGTGACGCGGATTAATAACAGCCAAAGTTTTCACTCGACATCCATTTTGGTCGCCACGCCTCTCGTGAAATGCCAATGTCACTATCGCACCCTTGTTCGAATCTCTAGGATCATGACATGTTCAGATTCGGGTTTTTGGATCAGGTTCCGAGCCATCGTCAGCACTAAAAACGAGTTTACGACGTTGGGGGTCGCCGGCCCGCTGGCGAGCCGCTGCGGGGAAAGTACCCATGGATTATGACTATGGAACCAGTTGCTTGTGGACGGCGTGTGTTATCTGGCCCTTAAGGAAATATCTGGCGTCTTTTTATCATTGGGAGGAAATATTTACCAACTGCGTCACAGTAAAATAATGCGTTTTCTAGTATTCACATAACGTAAGTAGAGAGAAAACAGAACTCTGTATTTGAACAAACTGTTGATTATAGATAATATATGCGTTCATCATCTGGCGCTGCGACGCTCCTGAACACGGCGCAGCGACCAACTGACAATCTTGAACGAGAGCAATGAAAACGGCTCGTAACAAAAGACGCTCCCCTGCGTGTACCTGAGGCGCTGGGCGGAGTGGAGTGAAAGTCGGCAGCGTTGCCCCGCTCGCAATCAACTTATTACCCGTCCAGCTTCCATACTCTCTTTATTTAGCTTCCCCCCCTTTTC